TATATATATATATATATAATTTAAAAGTTGTGGGAACAATGTTATTTTGATTTATGTTTTTTGTGAACCTCAGACTTTGCATGAAAACTGATGAGAATTTTAGAGGATGAGAGGAGGTTTGGTAGGGGCGGAATTAGGTTGTCTAGGATTGACAATTCTCTCCTGAAATTTGAAATTTTTCTATATAAATAATTAATTTTAATATTTTCTATATAATTTAGGCAATTTAGTAACTTTGCACCCATCGATTTTGTAAAAAAAAAAAAAAAAAAAAAAACTTTGACATTGGGTGATTTTGCCCATGCTAAAAAATAATATTGGTTCCATCCCCTCGATGTAGGCTTAGGGTTTGCTTATTGACTCTAGCTAAAACCTAGTCTCTTTTTTCTTAAATGATACTAAAGCCTAAACAAAACAATAACAAAAAGCATTTACCGATATCCCCACTAAGTGAGGTTGGTTATACTCGCCGTCATATTTTTATTTAATTTTAATAAATTATGATCATAGTTTACACTGCCCCAGACTTTTCAGGTCTATCTTTACCTATTTTTACTTGAGTCGGAGTTTAAAACATCTAATTCTCCTAAGTGGATCATCATATGGTTGATGATTAGTTTGGTGCAAGATTATGTTGAATATAAATGAGCCAGTCTTTATCAGGAGTTATTATTGAGTTAAGTATCTAATTATCTTTCAATAGCAAAAATTGTCTGAATATTGCGATGCTTTTTGTCACCCTGCTATTAAAATTCTATAGCTGACAAGGTGGTCTATTCTAAATTTAAAAAAATTGGTGACCCGTATTTGTGTTGTGATATCGAATTTTGAGTGTTATATATGTAAATATAAAAATTTAGGTGTTGATTTGTAAATGCCTAAGACTTGTAGCATGCATGTCAATGCCCCTTGTTATAACGATGGTGCCAATTTTGATTGACATGTTCAGGAACTTAAATAATGACCAGCTCTTGGTTCTCTTTTCTGAATATATTGTAGTTATAGTTGTATTTATTTTTCAAATTTAATTGTCAGAAGAAGGATAGAATAGTTTTTGAACTATTTATGGGGCGTTTTAATCCCAAATTAATTAGTGTTTTAAATTATGTTCTTTATTCTTTAAATCTGATCTAAAATAATTTTTCAAAATTTAATCATAAATTTGCACATGTACACGCAAGGCCTCCAATTTAAAAATTTTTAGTTGGAAAACTCTCAACTAATAGGCTAAGTTGTATAGAAAAATTTTTTAGTAATAGCTTAATTTTTTGCTATTTTATTTATCTATATTTATTTAAATGAATATATATACATAGATATAATGATGCGGATTGTATCCAGACAAGCAAAAATCATTAAATTTGCTTAAAGTTGTTGCATAAGAACTCGTATGGCATTAATATTGGAATAAATCAGATATTTTTCCATTTAAATTTATAGTTTTAGGTCTTGGTAATTTTTTTTAATTTCTAGAACTTTAAAAATTTCAAAAAATGCAAAATTCAGTTCATTATTTTAATTGGGAAGTCATAAATTATTCCAATTTTTTATTAAGAATAAACATGTTGATTAAAATGTTATATCCCAAAAATTATTACGCAGATTTAAAATGTTATCATATGAGTATTATATTTTATTTAAAATCTAAATACGTCTTAAAAGCATTAGTGGGATGTATAATTAATCAGTGCTTACACCATATAAATCTCCAACCCATAAAAAATAAACCCTAACACAATAGCAAAGGCATAATCTAGCTCATATATATAATTTACATACATGCCACACAACTCACGTATTTACATATCTAGCACCCAAAGTTTAATATTTGCAATTATCAAACCTCGGGGTCATGATGCATAAAAAGATGTGTTCCCTATAAAAACTGTGATATTTTTTATGTCATATTAAACATTGAAGTGCTATGCAAGGAAATATGAATATTTAGGTGTTAAATATGTAAATACATAAAAACAATGTGGCATGTATGTAAATGGCCCTACATATATAGTACGAAGAACACAAAGTTATCAGATGTACTTTATCAAACGTCTAATGTCGAAGCAGAAAACTAGCAATAATTTAAACAGCATTACAATGTAAATTTAGAAGCCACGCATTCATTCAACAGCAGGAAGCCGACATGCAACACCAAAATATATACATACGGATCCTTCATAAGAGCAAACCGGTTAAAAGCCCCAGAACTCTGAAACACCAAACTTCAATATTCATTTACAAATCAAAGAATGCATGCAAAACTGCAAAAATCACTCCAGCAAACTAGCAGAAGTAACCCCCAAAAGATGCAGAAAGTGAAAAAAAAAAAAAAAAGAAATAAAAATGAAAACAAGGAAATATATAACTTAAAGGAGTTGGAGAAATATGCCTGAAATATTAGAATTCAGAAGAGATCAAACTTTCTTTTTTGCATGTCTTGCTTCCACTTTGGCTGCTGATAAAATGCTTCTTTGGTCATTCCAAAAACAGTCTGGAACTCCTCATCAGATAGATATGCCTGTAAAAAGTTCATAAATATATCAACATGGGTCACTTGATCCATTTAGAAATAAACCCAAAGGAGACCCTAAATCCTAAACGCTAAAGGAACGCACCTCTCTGCGTTTGTAGTCGATTCCAGTAATCGGTTTCCTGGATTTCGCTTTCAGCCGCTCGTAGCTATATGTGTTTTCATCAGCATTATCTTCTACAGAGGTGTCGCCGCTCGCCTCTAAACTCGCATCACTGCTCTCTGATACGGAACCTTCCCCTTCAATCACTTCCTTCTCTGTTGAGTCTTCAGCTGGATCCCATGTCACAGAACTTGCTGTCTCTCCCTTTAGTGATTCTATAATTACAAAAGGAAATTGAAGTAATCATTTCGAAGAAACGGTTTGCATCTATGAAGCACAGTTATCTTATCGGAACATTCACATACATACCACCCAATTTATACATATTTACATATCTTAACACCTATACTTTACTTTTTTACATTTAAACCACCCAAATCTTTCATATTACATCAAAATAACACCATTTTAACTTTTAAAAAGTAAAATACACCTTTCTATGCAGCGGTGAGATGGTATTTATGTAAAAATTGAAGTTTAGGTGTTGGATAAGTTTATACATAAGATTTGAGCGATAGATATGTAAATCTTCCTATTATATTGTGTAGAAATCAGATGCAAGGCAGCAGGGCCCAAGATATTACTGTGTTGAAGGCCACTGAGGATATACATTTGCTAGAAAACAAAGTAATTTGGACAAGTAGATAAAATGGTGAAGCCCAACTTTTGCTCAATTTTCCATCATATTGATTGGAAAACTACTGTCATTTGGGCTGTAAAGTCATTCTAAATCATGAATTTTTTAAACATGTGTTATCAAAGACTTTAATCAATAAATATGATTTCCTAAAAAGACGGGCATATTGTATAAAAAATGATCTTAATCTATTAGAACTAAGTAAAAATATGGCACTCAATAGGACGCAATAGAGAAAAAGGATTCATGTAGCCGACCCCACTTAGTGGGATAAAGGCTTGTTGTTGTTGTTGTTGTTGTTGTTGTTGTAGTAGTTCTTGTAGGATTAGTATCCTATGTGATGATAATTAAAAAATTCTTTTCCATGGATGTAAAATAGATTGATTTCAAGAGATAGAAGAGCCAGTGGAATCACACCAAGCCTATTCAGTCCTTATTTTTTTCTCTTTATTCTAATCCATCATCTCATCTATTTTCATGTTTCCTTATTATTTAGCAAACTTTTGATTATATTAATTCTACATAAAAGTCATCATTTCGATCGATAAGGTCTTCCATACTATTGCCTTGCATCACAAGTAATCTAGTAGGATTGTAAACTAGTTTAAAAAAAAAAGAAAAAACAATGTATTCTCTTCTTGTCAGTAATATCAGCTTCAAAACGCTAAGCCGATAACATTTCTTGAGTTTGCACAATTTGAATTCAAATAACAAGGCACACTAAAATCTAAGGATAATGTTACATACCACTACCTTTTTTTTACTATAATGGTTCGTGCAATTAAATTTTGTAATACAAATAAAGTGACAGATTCTGCAATTACATCTAGAGAAAGATCCTATACAATTTGAAAGGCACTATTCTTTCAGGGAAGCAATAAACCCCAAGAAGATTCTTTTAGGGTGATCTGAAGAGGTGGAACTTAAAAAACACGCAATTAAGTAATATATTATAAATACAAATTACTAAGCATCATAGCACACAATTCTTAAGTTTTTACATATCTCACACCCAAACTTTTATATCTACACACATAGCACTCAAATCTTTAACATCACATCACAAATAGCGCTATTACAACTTTTTAAAAGTGAAATACACATTTTCATGCATAGATTTAAATCAACAAAGTGCTATTTATGTAACTATGAAAGTTTGGGTGTGAAATATGTAAATACACAAGAACTGTGTGCTATATATGTAAATCTCCCTTAAAAGAAAATGCCAACATTACCAATAGTATTTGAATCTGGGGGTGAATTTCTGCCAAATCTGCGAGTGGATCCCTCAGCTTGTGCTTTCTTTTGTTCAGCTGTGAGAACAGAAGACAGAGCAGCAACTGCAGCTGCTCTTTGAGAACCACCCTTAGTTGAACGAACTGGAATAGGGTTTGCAGGCTTGGCCTTAGAATGAGGATTAAACGCAGAAGAGAGTGCTGCTAAAGCAGATGCCCTCTGAGTGGGTCCACTTTGATTTGCATTATTTGATTTATCCTTAGACTGAAAAAAATTAAAAAAGGGTTAAATCACGCAAAATACTATATACAGCACAGAACAAAAGTTTAGCCACATGCAAAAAAAAAATGAAAAGAAAAAGGAAGATTTACATACATACCATTTAATTCCTATTTATTTATTTACATATCTAACACCTAAATAACACCTAAACTTCAACTTTACAAAAATGCCACCTTACCTATGCTTGAAAAGGTGTACTTCACATTTTAAAAGTAGAAATAGTGGTTTTTTTTTATGTGATATGAAAGATTTGGGTGCTATAAATATAAAAATTAAAGTTCAGGTGTTAGATATGAGAATACGCAGGAATTGGGCAGTATGTATGTAGATGCCCCCAAATAAATCAAGTAATTTTCTGTAACCGATCTGAATTTTATAGTCATAATCCCAGAACTAGCTGCACAAAACACTGACGAGTTCAACAAAGAAGAAAAATAAGAACATTGGCAACCTCCCATGCCTACATAAAGAATGCAATCTGTTTTTTTCTTTTTTTTTTGCAAGCCAACCTTATACATATCAGATCATGGAAAAAAGTATAAACATGTTTACTGATGATCTTCTCACCGAATCAAAAATAAAATGTTTCATTCCAATCCTTCAAAGTTCCAACTCATTTTGATTATAAAGGTATCAACTAAAGTAATACCAAATGCAAAGTCGTCTTGAATAATACTATATTTGCATAACAATGATATTCAAGTTCTGTTTTAGGCTAGGCAGGACCTAAGAAAATGGCAGCATATCCAATCAAGATCATAAATCTACACATTCAAGCAAAATCATATTTACTTGTCATATCAGTCCTCGTACATGATTTAAAAATATCTTGATACAAAAAAGGCTGGTATCCACTTTAAAAAAAACAACTAAAATTATGATTGATTCATTGCATCATCAAATTTTTCATATTGTATCGAGCAAACAAAATAAGTAGCTGTATGTGATTCAATAAATTCATTTACATAACTTTGGTACGACATGCTAAAGAACTCCAAATTTAGGATTTTTAAGTTTGATATTGACTAAAAGACAACTTAACACATGATTCTTTAATATAGTATATATCCACTTAATTCTGACGTGATTCATCAAAGTTATTCACCGCCAATAAATTACAGAACTTAATCAATAACATCACATTTCAAGAAGAAAAATTACCTCTGAAGTATGAAAAACTGTCCCAAATAAGATTGCAAGCTTCTTCTCAAAAGAATTCCCATGGGCCTATTTCATATTAGAAAGGCATTAAAAATTTAGTACAAACATATCCAAAGCATGGAAAAATTAGTAACGTTACACAACATAAACTTAAAAGGAGATAAATGAATTTTTTTTTTTCCATAAAAAAGGCTAAGAAGAATTAATCTATTGTCATCCCTATAATTCAAGGGCGTAATGACATGTTTTAAGTCTGGGACATTTACACGCATAGCACAGAATTGTTATGCTTTTACATATCTCACACCGAATCTTTCACAACACAAATAGCACTGAGATCTTTAATACCACATAAAAAATAACACTATTACCATCTTTTAAAAGTGAAATACATCTTTTCATGCATAGCTTTCAAGCACCAAAGCACTATGTATGCAAATATGAAGTTTGGGTGGGGGAAATGAAAATACATAAGAATTGTGTGCTACGTATGTAAATTTCCCTTTAGAATTGTGTTTAGTGAGAATTTCCTGTGGAAAAGTCTCAAGCTGCGCAGTTCAGAGGCATGGAGTAAAATTTGAGATTAATTTGAGCTCATGTCCACACAAACAATCACCAAATCTTTGGAGGTATTTGTTCAAGACACAATGTAACAATGGATCTTAAATGTAACTCCTGAAAGCCCATAAAACAAGTCCAACTAGAAAACAAGCATTTAATATCCATGTTATTAACGAAAGAAATTCCAATTTTCCCCTCCCATCATGAACAGTCCCCAGAAGTTCTCAGTACCCCACCACAGCACCAATTCATTTTACACTACTTCAGTTTTTTATTAGCAATGTTTTAGTATAATAAAATAATTTGAATAAAAAAAGGAAGATTTACATACATACCGCCCAATTCCTATGTATTTACATATTTAACATCTAAAACTTAATTTTTTAAATACATGTCAACTTACCTAAGCATGAAAAGGTGTATTTTACCTTTTAAAAGTTAAAATGGTGGTATTTTTTATGTGATATGAAAGATTTGGGTGGTATAAATGTAAACGGTAAAGTTTAGGTCTTAGATATATAAATACATAGGAATTGGGTGGTATGTATGTAAATGCCCCCAAGAAAATATTGCACACTTCTTATTGGACCACTATGAGAAAAAAACAGCTAAATACTAGCATCATAGTAAGAGGTCAAAGAGTTTGCAGAACATACAGCAGCCTTTGCACCATCCCAGGTGAAATATGCTGTAAAAAAGCAGGGCTCGTTGCCCTCGGTGACTCTGTAAAGGGGCACATCTGAAGCTAGCCCCTCTAAGCATCCTGCAAGCTCTATGTATTTCTGAATAGAAAAATTAAATGAATATCAGAATTAACACAGACAATATGGCAAAAAAAATATGCAGATCACACTCATAACCTCGCCCATGTCAAATGCTCGTTGTTTCTCCTTGGTTTCTACACATTGGCCGATCCAAATAAAGACTTCAGAGTGGGTGTCAAGTATCAGCATATCCTCACTTAGCAGATCATCTTGCACAAAGTTGAAAACTTCAGTGACCTGCGAGGAAGGAGGAGGAACAGCAACTAAAGATTATCGAAATAAATAGCATTCGCATGAACTAAATAAATAAAATAAGATGAGGCAAACCTCTAATTTTTCTGGAGGTTCATCACACCAGCATGAGGAAAGACGAAGCCGTTAGGTATAAAAAGAAAAAGAAGAGAGTTGTTATATGATTTTTTTTTCAAGAAGGCAAATCAAACAAATCTTAATTAGGGGCATTTACATACATACCATTCAATTCCTATGCATTTACATATCGAACACCTAAACTTTGTATTTTAAATTTATATCACCGAAATCTTTCATGTCACATAAAAAATGCCACCGTTTTAACTTTTAAAAGAGAAATATACCTTCTCATGCATAGGTAAAGTGGAATATATGTAAGATTGAAGTTTGTGTGTTAGATATGTAAATACATAGGAATTGAGTGGCCAGTATGTAAATTTTCCTATTGTTTAATATAACTGAGAGAGAATCTTACCTTTGTTGAATGAGAACGTGTACAAATGGGGATCTCTAAAAATATCTGTCGTTACTTTACTGCTGGAGAAACTTTGTTTTCCTCCAAGAGCAAACCAAAAAGCAGAGCTCTCTGTTCCCTCCTTCGCATGTTTAAATGCAGCTCCAGGCTATATGAATAATTAGATTGATTAGGGACTAAAAAAATGAGATAATGTTTCATAATAAGTAGTTTACAGTGTCTTCTCCTCCAACTTGATACTTGGGTTGATTATATACCGTGTAAATATGATAGTTTTTAATTTTATCATTTGACGTCAATTACTAAAAACACTGTGATAAATTATTTTATATATTTATTATAAATAAAAAATTGACTAATAAAGACGGGTCAATAATTAAATTTATGCTAGCACAGTACCGCTTATGTATGTTGTAATAGAAAAATAAAATATCAAAAGTTTACCTTCAAAAATTCTGCAATGTTTGTAGCCAACTGTTGCTGCTCAAACGAGCTAGATGACCCTTGCCATATGAACAAAGTATTTCCAGATTGCAAAAGAAAGCAGTCATAAGAATTTAAAGATGTTGCAACCTGTTCAAAGATTGTCAAAAGGTGATAACTTTAATAACCCCCATTACATTTTATTGATGTAAACCTCAATTTCTGGTAGCTTTCGAAGAAATATTATTATATTAAATATAGACTAACTACTGAAACATAGGAAGCTGAGAGGGGGAGAAAGAAAGAAGAAAAAGAATTGCTTGTGCTTAAGCACTACGAATTTTTAGGTTAAGTTCCATAAAAAAAAAAATTATAGATGAGAACCAGGTGATTTATCAGCTGAATGCACCATATATGCTGTCCAACAAGATTGGAGGTATTCATAGTAAAGCTCAAAAAACAGAGAGAATGAGGGGAGAAATTTAATACTGTTGAACTTCCAACCTCAATTCCACTGTTTGTTTGTCTTCAACTTATCATTGTTCCTATTTTCTCAAAACTTTTCCAATCACAAGCACGCCAAAGATATAGTACATGATGCATCTATCGTCAATGCAATGTTAGGGCAAGCTGCTACGATATTGATTTTAGCGGAAAGAAACAGCCATGTCGATATGTATTATGATGTAAAAGATACAGGAAAAAACATATCAGAGTCAATGTCAAGAATGATCTGTAGAGCTAAGAATAAAAAAATCTCTTCTTCTACATTATAAAATTTATTCTGGAAGTACTGTATCTCCAATTGCAAAAGTGGTTCCTAGCAAATTGAAATATAAAAGTACCATGCATCTCGCATCCTGACATTGCGCCATTCTCACCGCACTCATCATGGGCCCAATTGAAGTTGTGAGCACTTTCTGTGGTCATGGACCAACACCATCAAACTCATTGGGTGCACTGCACACATCCATCTTGGTATTTTCCAACATCACTCTCATTCTCGTAGTCATCGTCAAGGGTGATCAGCTATGGCACATTTACATGCTCTCTAGTAGCACTTCCCTTTGTGCTTGCTTTACATTCATTCTTGTAGTCATCATCAAGGGTGATCAGCTATGTTGCATTCACCATTCACATGCTCTCTAGTAGCACTTCCCTTTGTGCCGCTCTACAAAAGAGCTTGCACCTTAGGGCAGCAAGCTGTGCAAGCTTGCTCAAATACTAACATTGTCATTGACCCTAAATGGGAATCAATTAATGAAAGAACATGGAAAATCCAACAGCATATCAGCCCAGATTTTGCATTCCTTCTACATTTCAAAAAAGTCATATTCCAGCACATGGCTAGAGCGAGCAATAGAGCAATACATTGTCGTGTCCACATAACCCCCCATAGGGAGTTTGTTTTGAAAGATGTAAATGAGCAACAAGCTTTTTTTTTACCTAATATTTTAAAAGTCATCTCTCATTCTATAACTGCCTAATGACAGAATTTTGTACACTTTTTGTACCTTTTTAATATATTAATGCAAATACAACTTTCAAGGATGGCATCCTTGCGAGCTAGTTGTGGTTCGAGGCCTACAAATTTTTGTCTATCTATTATTATCCAACAGCATTTTTCCTCACTCCCCTGACAGGATCTTGAATTTGATTTCTTCTCGTCCCCATTGCATGCCCCTTACACCATCCCTCCTCTCGCAATTGCGACTTCAATGTCAACAATTCAAGTGGCTACTACCCCCCTTGTGCCCCTCCAACAATGATCCGTCAGCTCTCAATTTCTCTTTTTGTAGATGCTCCCCAATCCTTAGCAAAATTTATTAGAGGATTGGTGACTATGAGATCTCAGAAAGCTCCAACTTTCACAACTTTTTCATCTAATTTTTAGGTCCTCTTCATCACAAACAATCCTTCTGTGTCAAGATAAACAAACTCTTACCTTCAAATAATCAGAGTTATTTGAATTAGCAAGGCCAGTTTCCTTCTCTAAAGTGGTCAAATTCTTGAAGGGACGTCTCATTCTGGAGAAGTAGAGATTATATGTTCATTCATGTCAGAATTGCATTTGACTAGAGAACATTCAATCGGGCTTTTTCATCCTCGCCATATAACTATCAGATCATTCGTTAAAGCATATATTATTATAGATTGTTTTCACAGAGTTCCTATCAAGTAAATGATATTCCAATGCGAATACTAAAGTAGTCTGCTCATCCTGACTCATCCATGGAACCTCCTATCACTCTAGTATAAATTTCTTTTCTTTGACAGCAGCTCCAACAGTTAATCAGCATAAACTTGATTCTCCATATGCCTTAGCAAACTCTTATAACTGAATGCCACAACCACCAGCCTCCCAATGCCGTCAAAGGCCAAGCGTTCTAATTGAATTGAGTTTTACTAGGCCTTCAAAAAATAATGTTTGGATTGCCTTGTTTTGTGGTCATTGGCAAAAGATTGTAATTGAACGTATTATTTCATATTGTATTACTTAAAACATTTCAGACACAACTACTCAGATTGCTACAAAGCTCATCCAAATCTGAGAAAATTATCATTGATTCATGCTGTTAGGAACATGGGGAAAATGCAAATAAATAAAATATATCTTCAATTGTGGTGGGAGCAATTTGATCTTCCTTAATTCAAGCATGTCCACAAATTTTGAAACAAACATTAAATGGTTGTGTGCAATAAGAGCCTTCTGAACCTCTCCTTGTTGAAATAAATCTAATGAAAAATAGCATTATCTCTTCAGCATCCAAAACCATTGCTTAAGCCTCTCCAACGGAGTTAGTCCTTGAACATATTATTATTATTGAAAATGTTGATGACAATTTATCTCAAAAACTTTCTGATTTAGAAGTTAGCCTATTGAGTATGGATGCCCAAATAGATTAGAGATCTCAAATCGTATTCTCTAAGAGAGGGATAATTAAAAATTATTTTCACCCTCCCATATTCACTAGACTACAAGCCAAGAGGCACAAAGCAAAGCATATCATGGGTCTCTTAACCTATCAGATGGATATCTATACTTTGCCATACTATTATCCTGTAGTGTCCTTTTGTCTTTACATTGTAATATAGCAATTCACTATAACTGTCACTTTTGTGCTCCTTCACATTATATGGTCATAATATTTTTCTTCAAAAAAATTGAACATGAAACTACTATAACAAAAATTCTTCCACATAAGGAAAAAAATCAACAGAAGTGCACTAAGTTCTATAGAAACCATTTAAATCAAATTTGCTGCAAAGATCCTTGGCAAAATTGCTTTTTTTTTTACATCCCCAATGAATGAAACACTATACCATCCATCAAAGCATTTCCATGGAGACTTTGTTCTTAAAAAACATAAAATGAAACCAACGAAACAATGTTAATGGCCCATATTTACCAGTCATGGCTGATGCGTAACACTGAGATATATGCAATACTCAAATGTCAAAAAATCTTTCACAAATTGATTACTAACGAAATAACAAAAACTATAAAACATGGCTTACCGCATCAACTTGAACTGCTGCATTATTATGAGCTGAAGTACCAGACACACGAATTAGTGCAATGCTATCAGATGCATATGTTTCATCACGAATATTGTTCTCCTCCACTGATTTCTTGTAACCTGTGCTCAGACCACCCTGCACAAATTGAAAGGGAACACTCACTCAATACTAGTGTCAAGCTTTCTAAAATGCTTAACATATTCAGAAAGTAGATAGTACCTTTAAAACAACCATTGGCTGAAAGAGGGCAATGAATTGTGGTGGCTCCTTCCCTTGAAAAATGCGACCCTACGGTGGGCATGGAAAATGTCCAAAAGTTAAGAAACTATAGCATAAGATTTATAATAGTGAGCTCGGGTAGATTCCAATGGTGCATTTATAAGCGCACCATTTTGAATCACACACTAGCTCACCATCCATCAGATATCTCTCTCTCTCTCTCTCTCTCTCTCTCTCTCTCTCTCTCTCTCTCTCTCTCTCTCTCTCTCTCTCTCTCTCTCTCTCTCTATATATATATATATATATATATAGATAGATAGATATATAATATACACACACACATGTATATATGTATATATGTATATATTCTTGAAAAAGATTGGCCAAAGACTATTATACGAGTCTCCCGACCAACCTTATATATATATATAATACCATAAGCTCCGGCCAATGCAGGTTATATGGAGGAGTTGCTTTTGGCAGTCCTAACCTTGCTTTTCACGGAGGTTGTTTCTATCAAGACCTAACCGTATTTGTTAAAGTTTTCTTGCACGGTTGTAGTCCATTACAAAACAGAGTCACATTGTAAGTTTCAGAGAGTTGGGCAAAATGCTGTTGTTCATGATGGTGAAGGCATACAGGAGAAGCATGTGCGGTTAGTACTTCTTGTTAAAGGGCAAAAGGCTTTCCATCAAAATGAAGTTTAATATATCCACTTTCTAAAACATATAGTAGCTAATAATAATTACTGAATGAGCCCCAAAATAGATATAAGAGGACAACCCTGCACAAGGCGTCGATGTGAAGGGAAGAACAAAAATTTAATTATGAAAATATTAAGTAATACCTGAACTGGTCTTCCTTTCATATAAGTCCACATTGTATTAGCCAATCGAGAAGCCGTCATATGATCATCCTGGGTGAAAAGTAGAACTTCTTATCATCCAAATGCCAGGAAAAATAGCAAATTTTAAAATATCATTTTCCACGAACTTATAAATATAAATCGATGGTAACTTGGTATGAAAATAAATTATTTTGTATCAGAGGTAAAAAAAATAAGTAGGTAACTAGAAAGATATCTAAAATTAAAGTTAGCACAGCAAAAATATATTATTGATATTTTGAGAGCAAAAAATTGGCTTACTGTAAGCCATATAAAACTCCAATTAAACTATAAAAAAAAATTAGGCTTTCATTGCAAGCTATGTAAAACTCCAACTAAATTAGACCAAAACTGAATATTAGCAATAAAGGAACATAAGTTGTCATTTGCAAATATCAAGGGTTATAAGAAAATTAATCTTCTCGCATTCATTATGACATTGCTTTTATTGTAATTCTCATAAATCAATTTATGCACAAATTAAAAAAATCTCAACTTCAAGCTGCTTATATAGTTTTTATGTATTTAAATCAAATCTTGAAAAAGTGGTTCTCTATAGAAAACATCAAATCCTAAAAATTGAAGGTTATATTGATATTGATCATGTAGGATCACGGGTAGATAAGATCCAAATTTTTGGACACTACACACTATTGGAATGAAACTTGGTAACTTGAAGCAAGAAACATGTTGTCTCAAAGACAAGTGTTTAATTTGAATTTAGAGCAGTCGCTCAAGGTATCGGTGAACTCTTACAAGATTAAAATTATAGTAGAAGATTTAAAAAACAAATGGAAATGACCTGTGAGGATGTATGCTGACAGTAAGTGAGTTATACAATTCACTTTTTCATTTGGGTCACAATACATCTTCTAACTAAAAATCAAATAGAAATGACCACATTTTTGGCATTTATAATATTAAAATTTCACGATTACATATTCTGACTTATTAGGGTCCATTATAAACTAGGATGATGGAATCATGGTATTTAATTTAGGTTGTTATCATTCTCCCCATCATATGCTCTAAACTATTAGCAGGAAATTTTCTTAATCAAAAGTGAATTGTTGGTATCATAATCTGAACATTTAGTGCCTATCGATTAACCTTAATCAAAATTTCTCTTTTATGATCGGGAGGGTAAATAACCATAAGTAACACCATTAATGGAATATTCTATTAAGAGTAAATGATTTTTTTATCTTATTCTATACATAACCTCTATAAATTTATCATATCATGCCCTCAGAGACTGTTTAAGACCATATAAAGCCTTTTAAATCTCCATATCTTATTTTCTATAAAAAATTATAGCATCCTACTAAATGATTCATATAAACTTATTTAACATCATCATGTAAGAAAAGTATTGTTAATATCATATTTATTGCATAACATCAGAGATTTGCAACTGAAGAAATTAGAATTTAAATTGTATTCATGTTAAAAACAGGAGAAAACATTCCTTGATAGTCTATTTTATATGATTGTGTATAATATTTTGCTACTAGCATTGTTCTACACCATTTCAAATTTTAATGAATTTTTTTTTCCTATTTGACAGTCCAACGATCTCCAAGTGTGATTTTTTCTAGGACATTTATCTCTTCTCAAATGACATCTTCCCAATTATTATTTTTTTACACCATAAATAGTTTTTTATGATTTTTAAATGACGATGAGCATAGATATGTACGGCTTTACATATAAAAGATAATTTTGAAATAATGTTTAATAGATTATGGAGTACAAAAAAGAATATGAAGGAATCAGTTGATCATTGTTGTGTGTAATAATAATAACATTTTAATTTATTTAACTAATTTTAAAAAAAATCATTAAATTAGTTAATGAAAACAAAAAAGTAAATTACTAATTAAAGTTATATAAATTGACGAGGAAAATAAATTTTAAATGACTTCAGACTTTATTAAAGAAATCTCTTAAATATTTACTGCTAACGGCATCTGCAAAGCAGGTGTCGTTAGAGCAAACCACAAGGCACCCGCCCTTATTAACCGAGGGCTCCTATCCCTCGCTCCTTTAGTCTTGTGATAGAGAGAAAGAGGGAGAGAAGGGAAAGTGAATAAAAAAGATAATGAGATTGTAATAATTTGAATTTTATATTTAAATACAAACAAATTTGATCTTTTAAGTTCAATTGTGTATATTATATTTCAATTGCTTGAATGTTACATTATTATTATAAAATATATGGATGTGGTTTACAAATTATATCATATAGACGACAGACAACTTTAGTGTTTTTACTGTTTTAAGAAAATGCTTCAGCCATAGATTTTTTTCAGGCGGATTTAATGCAAAAAATGACTCAATAATATTTTGGCCTAAAATATGTAGAAACTCTAGGCAGATTTTGTGCCAACAAGCATTTCTGGTTGGTGGCTTTTAAACGAATAATTTTTTTCTATAACCAAGTTTTCAGTGGGTTTTCAGTTGTTTCAGTCAAATTTTTAAGCCCAAAAAAAAAAGGTCTTTTCCTATAGTTTCAAGTCCATTTTTAAAGATATAAAAGTATCAAACCTGCTTAAGTGACCATTTTAATGTGCATTACTTAAATTTAAAGTACATTAATGAGCATATATTTATTACATTCCAAAGTTTCTATTAACTTACCAGTAAATTATTTTTAAATGATAGCTAAAAGCTACCTTTTCCAACTGTAAGGAATAGCTAGAGTATTTTTAATAATTATAATCCATTCAAGCAGCATAGGACTGTATGAGTATGTCCTTAGATTTTGAATGGAATTTATAATGTATGTTTATATCCTTATTTGAGGGCTATATATGTAAGCACCGTTAATTACCTGAATGCTTTCATTTCCAATCCAACAGGCTAGGAAGTAATCCTCTTTTTTCTCACCAGAATGATATGTATAAAGTATGATATAACAATCACCGCTGAAGAATTTACCAACATCTTCTTGTGGAATTGATGTCTTTGCACTACCATTGATGCGCCAGACCTAAAAGTATTCATCAAACATGTCACGCAATAATTCCAGCAATATTAAAGGATTCTAGAGCTTCCTGAGAACAAAGAGGGGGATATAAATGCTTACCTCAACTTTCCCCCCACCATCAAACAAAGGCGGAACATCCTCATTCACAGGAGAAGTTTTTGTGCTTCCCTTCACATCAATGCCTTGTTGCTTCAACAGAGCTTATCAAAAATAAAAAATTTAAAAAAATATCAATAACAAAATGGTCCACTGAGCCTTCAATTAAATTGCATGTAGTACCTGCAACTTTTCCTCTCCCTTCCTCGCCCGCAGCACTTCCTGTACCAGTGACTAAAGGCCAAGATTCAAAGTTGGACTTGAATGAATGAGTCTCATATCCCTGAATAATTTGGCTTATCTTGGTTGCCTTTGGCCGGCTCTCATTATTTATAAGTTCCTTCAAAAAAATAATAATAATAATAATAAAAAGAATGAAAAAAGATGATCAAGTTTATCTTAAGGTGGATACATCAGAGAAGGGATAATAGGATATAAAGGCCAAACCTCAGCAGCTTTGCATGCAGCTTTCCTCTCCTCCAATTGTGTTACTCGACCAACCCAAACATGAATCTCAGCACCACAATCCAGCAAATAGCATTTATTGTTTTCAAGCATTGCTTTGGAAAGCGAGCCTTCTTCCAACTTCAACTGACCATCATTGATGCTGCAAGAGGTAAAAACATCAAAACACAGCAATGGAAGATTGTGAATGGCGCCAAAATTTCATCATTTAGTGCAAATGTACAATCAATCATATGGTTGCACAAAGTTTCGAGCCATAAGAAATTCTAAAAAAATGTAATAGTGATTACGGTTCGGTCATTCGATGAAAACGAATGTCATACTTTTCAAGATTTAAATTACAGTGTAAATAATCACGGTCCTTCCTTTTCCCTGTGAATCATATGTACACATTAAGCCTCTGGCACAATGCCACCATCATAATGTATTTGGGGGAGGTAGCTTGTGCATACAATACTGCAAAGCTAAAGTGCATGCCAGCTTGAAAGCAATCAGCGAGTCCTAGACACCATGAGAGCATGTGCAAGGGGGTCTTGACCATGGTGGATAAGTTGGGAACAATTGCAAGATTGCATGATGCAGAATCCAAATAGCTACTTATCTTCTCATGAGCACCTTAGCTTTTGCGGGTCCAAGGCATGACCAAAAGAAGCCTAAGATATCACAATGCCAGTGGGGGTAACGAGGAGGTTGCCCCCTTAACTTGATAAAACATATCCACTGGCCAACCAAAGAATATCAGATTAACCAACAAAGGAGACATCAAATCATGCATGCGGCCCACATAACTTGGTCAGGTGTATCTAGGCATGATTGAATGTGTCTTCTTTGTCAAACACTGACAAACATTGTCTTCCCTGCCGCGGACAAATATATTTCCCTCATTTATACCTCGCTAAGGGAAAGCCAGTTGAGTTCTAACCAGAAGAAAGAAGATTAGTGTCAATAACCTACTGCATCGAGTCACCCACAAACTTCAAACACGTAGTACATCGGATACGACTGGGATCTTGTCAGGATCAACATGATCCGTCCCAATGGAAAGAATTTACACAAATGTGACAGCAAGCAATATAGACCAGGTGAGAGGGCAGCAGGGGGCAACTCATGCATAGTGTAAAGAAAAATAGAATAGGAGTACGGAAGTGATTAAGTAGTTAAAAATATTGTAATTGGGTACTTAATTTTCCTTCTTTATATGGAAAAAGAAATTGAAAGGTTTTGCATAAAAATTTCAAAGACTATCCTTTTCTATTAATAAGACAAACTTAAGTGAGATTTTAACAAATTTCCATCTCAAAAGGATGAGCATATTAACTAACAAAAATTCAATTATGTTGTCAAAATACAACTTGTCACGACCCAGTCTGATGGCTTGAAATTTCCAAGGTGAAAACAAAAGTTTGGACAGTGAATTTAATATTTTCTACTCTCAATTTTATCACTAACAGTTTACAATCCAAATAAAATGAAACGGACAGTAAAAAAATTAATTAATTTAGCAAATAAAAAAACTTACTTTCATTTTTGACCTTGTCTTTTGTACACATTCTCTCATCTAGTATTTATTTTTTATTTAAAAAATTAACCTCAGAAATATTAAAGCCCCGTAACAAGTTATCAAAAATAACCTATTCAAACAATTACACTTATAAAATATAGTAAGTCAACAAAAAGAAGGCAACATGTATGTTGGTCTTTCCCAATTTGTTCTAGAAATCATATAATAATCTAATATATGTATTAATAACATTTGTTCAATGAAAATAACCTAATATTTGATATGCTTTTGGCTTTAATTTTCAGGATTTTAATCTTTTAAATTGAGTACTTCATACTTTTAGCTTTAATATCCGTCTCAGAGGTACCATCTAAATATATTCTAACACACCCCTAGCTAATACATACGGCATTGGCACATTGAGACTCACACAAAATGATAGTGTTCTAGAGCTCGTAGAAGATATTTTGGAATTGGTTTTGAAAGGGATGGTTGTGGAATGACAAGTAAAAGATAATACGCAAGTTCGATGACGTTAGGACAAGGGCTGGCGTCGATCAGTGGTTGCCTCGTTGAAAGCAAAAAAAAAATCACAAAAAGTCACAAAACAAATATCTAGAAGATTGATCAATATTCTTATAGAAGCTACAGACAAACCATTTATAAAAGAAAAGAATACAACACTCCATTAGAATAACAATCAGATATAATCTCCAAAACACAAACCAAACAAAAAGTTATTTGAAACTAAAAATACAAACATTCAAATAGTCTCAAGCTATAAGAAACCATAATTAAAGATAAAAAAAATTAAAAATAAGCTGAAAAGGAAAAAAAATCTTGATAAAAGTTGCGAACGGGAGGGAATCCTATGCGGGATTAGAAAATCTCACAATTGGTCCCATCAGCCAAAATCTCACTATTGAGATTGTAGTAATTAGCGGGACGGAACGGCTTCGGTCCCATGCAGATCCCAATATTGCAAGATGCGGGAGGCGGAACACGCGAAAGCTCTGCATCAACCTCCACGGGTGGAGAGGCTTTTTCTTCTTCTCTAAAAGCTTCTAGAATTGATCTATCACCATCATAACAAAATCATCATCTTGGTATGTATGAGAGTCCCACTACAAAACCAATTTTCATATCCATTTTAGGCGATTCCAAAACACAAACGTCATTCCAAAGTCTGTTTTGATAGAATAAATATACATTCTTTTTTGACACAACCAAAGCTGGAATTGCATATAGATAGATATTCTCACGAATCAAATCTCAAGAAATTAAATTTGTAGCAAGCTTCTCCTCATTCTCATACTCAGTTGGGCAAATCTAATAAACAAGTCTGTCTAGATGAACGAACTCTGAAATGAAATATATGTCATGTTGAATCACTCTCAGTAGCAACCACTCAAGAGGTACACTGTTGGTTAGGATATCCAGCAACTTTCTGGTATCAACTGCTCGAACTTACTACCTTCTAAAACAATCAATGCTAATCCAGTTGGAGTCTCTCTCATGGGTTTACCTTGAATTACTATTATCTCTTTCTTGTTGACTAGAAGTTGAGACTGCTCTCTAAAGTTTTCATCCTCTGTCGTGTCACTGTCCATTTCTTCAATTACTCCTTGCTCAGTGAAAGTGACAATCCTCCTATATGGGCAATCAGATGTAATGTATCCAAAAGCCATCGCACTTGAGGCTCTTCTTTGCTGGATAGATTTGGGAGTGTTGGAGGTCTCCACTTTTTCTCCACTCTTAACGAATTTTTTTCTCTGGTAGGTTCAATTGGGATACTCCATTAGGTGCTCCCTTATTGTCTGAGCTTGGTTGAACTCTGCCTATAAGGTTTGGTTGTCACATGGTAACCTTATTGTTTCTCCACCTTCAAAGCTAGGGTATGTATATAAAAAATGAACTAATACGGCCACAATTGCACCACATTCCTCATAGACGACTTCAGTCCTTCAAGATATCTCGTTATTGTGTGTTCCTCAAACTCACATTTTAGCATAAGTTGATTAAATTCAATTGCGCACTCCTCCACAGAAGAATCTCTCTAGCTCAAGTGATGAAGTTTAATGAACATATTATGATGATAATGTTGGGGAAAATATTTGCGTTGCATCTCCTTTTTCATCTTAAACCAAGCGGTGGTCTTACTCTTGCTTTCCCACTATCAAAGATGCTTCAGGTTCTTTGACCACAACGAAGTATATTTCCTGAACTTGATGGTTGTCAATTTAACTCTTATCACAAGGAACATTTTTGTACTAAAAAATTTGCTTTGTTGTTTAAAGTCATTTGATAAACTCATCCAGATCCATGCAACTGTCGAAATCTAATAAATTCGCATTTACTACAAGTTCATGGCTTCTTCTGTAATAGTCTATGTTGAATTGTCGAAGTAGTGGTTCTTTATCATTGGAAATTGTCTGATGAAAGGGATTTACTTCCTCCTCTCAATTTTACAAGTCATCGTTGCGGTTATGGATGACCTCACATAATTTTCTCATCTCAAGTGTGGCAAACCACTACTGTATTTAGAAGATTTGTCGCTATATAATCTCCCTAATAAGCTCCTGGACACCTCTTTGAAGGTTTCTTCTAGGCGACATTGTTTATTTTCCTCCCAATCAATATTCTAGGAGTATTTAAAATTTCTACTCTCAGTTGGTCAAGAGCTTAGGCTTGGTGCTAGGTTTCAAAGTAAAATTTTGGTTGAGGTAGAAAGAATATATTTTATATTGTGGTGTGAATGATTAGGGTTTTGTGAGATTTTATTTTGTTTTTTTTTTTTTTGGATTGGGAAAAGAATGACAAATCTCTAAGAATCTAGGGTTTGTCGAGCTGTGATACCAGATGGTACCATTCTAGGGCTCCTATAAGAGATTTTGGAATGGAGTTTTGTAAAGAGATGGTTGCGGAATGGCAAGTTAAAGATAATACATGAGTTTCATGGCATTTGGACATTTTGTAAAGAGGTGGTTGTGGAATGGCAAGTTGAAGATAATACATGAGTTTGATGGCATTTGGACATTTTGTAAAGAGGTAGTTGTGGAATGGCAAGTTGAAGATAATACATGAGTTTGACGGCATTTGGTCAGGGGTCAACACCGATCGGTGGTTGTTCTCACTGAAAACAACAAAGAAAACCACAAAATGATGTGAATATCGATGAGATTCGCGACCTATTCCTGCAAGAGCTACCAACACACCACTTGAAAAAGAAAAAGATACAACACTCCATTAGGGCAGAAATCATAGAATCTCTAAAACACAAATAAAAATCAAAAGTTCCCTTAAACAGAAAATACAAACATATAAATAGTCTCATGCTAGAATAAACCCTAATTTAAATAAAAAAAGAAAAAAGCTAAAAGACAAAAAAATTTTGATAGTTGCAAACAGACGGGAATCTTGTGTGGGATTATGAAATACAGCAACCAGTCCCACCCCATCAGCTAAAATTCTGCTATCGAGATTGTAGCAATTAGCAGGAGTCCCGCGTCGATCCCGTAATTGTGCGACACGGGAAGGATGATACGCAAAAGCTCTGTCACTAGGTCTACTATTTTATGATGTGAAAATATACCTACCCACCCATAGCTGATACTCTCTCGTTGATCTAAATACACATAGTT